ATACACAAATTACTAAATCTACCAAATGGTGAAAGTACTCTCCCCACCTCTAAAAACAAAGAAATTGGAAAGTTTCCTCCGTCTCTTCATCCTCTTACTGAGGAGAGCTTTATAATAACTTGCTCCTTTGTTACGTAATCAAATGTAACTTTAAGAAAAGGAAATACGTTACAATTACAATTTGTTGCAATTGTGATGGGAAATTAACAGTACAAAGATTTGAGACAGATGACTATGAGAACCAACAGCCTTTCGAAATGGCAAGGATCGATATATCCCATGAGTCCTTCCTTTCTCGATAAATCCCTTGTCGCTGGTAGGGGATAGAGCCTTCTTTGATTAACCTGTCAAAGAGATCTCTCAATCTTCACTTACCGTAGTCCGAGCAAAATCTGCACGCAAACCTGCTTTAAGTCCCCTTTCTTTGACAATCCCCTTGGTTACTTAATACCAGGTTCTGTCTTCCACAACATCAATGCCAAGTAGTTAGAGAACGTCACTTCAGAACTCATATTCCGTAACTCCAAACTAGTAATTACTTAGTTCTATTTATTATTAACATTAAAAAAAACCATATTACCTAGCCTACGTTCCGTGCATCACCCAAAAGTTTTATGGGGGAATTTCCTCTTCACATGCTTTGAAATAAAAAAGTATAAACCAGGACGTCACATGAGCTTCATATGCTAGCTCAAACACCAATGGTTAATTATGCATTAACGAGTGACATTGCATGTATTTCAATAATTATAAAAGCGCCTTGAAACAAGTCACCTGCTAAATATTTCCCATAAGTATTAGATTTTCCATCTAGAAATCAACTTCAAGTTGCTTGCTAAAAATAAAGAAATAGGTTAAACAAATATTACATGCTTCAACAATTTTATGTCTGTTTGATAACAAATGAAATGAAGATAATTATAGTTCATATTTCATACATACCTCTCCTCCGATACACATCAGTCTTGTTCAAACGCTTGGAGGAAAAGATTAGAACTTAACAAAGAGCTGAAAAGCAAGCAAATAGCAAGAACAAATTAGTTAAGGCAGAGATGTAATAGCATTCACGTAACATTTCTTTTCTTTTCCTGCTGACAAGAGGAAAAAATCTGAAGTTCATTTTGCTAGAAAGCTTTGTGTTAAAAACTAATTTATAGTAGCTGGAAAATCTTCTTCATCTTTAAAATACAATCATAAAAAAAGGTATGTAAAGGAGTTAAAACTAAATGTACTGCAAAGGTGTTTGTAAGGCTATCATTGCAAATTTAAAAGTAACAGGCAACAACATCCGAGACAGATCCTGATCACATGCCAGTTTTGGGGTAATGTTTTCAGAAATAGGAAAATTTTAGACAATTCAACCACAAATTTAGGCAAATAATATGCCATACACTTGAATGTGCTGCTGCAAATTGGACAGATATTAATAATAAAATATAAAAACACCTGTGTAGTGGCTGCAATTGCAATACTCCAAACTCTTCTGTAGAGGAGCAGTTTACTGGCACGCATAGAACATCGATTATGATGCTAGGGATGTGAGAAATTTTGAGCCAGTCTTCCCCTGTCTCCTTTCTGCAGCGTTCTGAAAGAATAGGACTCTGACTTATGTCCAATTGCTTTAGACTTGTATTCTGAACAATGTAGCATGGCAGTGCACTTAACTTTGGGCAGTAATCAATTGTTAGGGAACAAAGCCGAGGCATAATACTAATAAGCTCTTCTTCTTGGCTTGTTAATGGGATCCAATAATCCCACTCTTTCATATAACGAAATTCGAGATGTTTTAAACTAGGAAAGGCAATAACAGAGGAAGGTGACTCTGACGATGCAGACAATGCTGATATCTCTTCTCTTTCGACACCCAAAAATTCAACTCCCACTTTTTCCAAACTTCTCATTTCCCCCATATAGAGTGATTCAACAGATGGCAATTTCCCCAAAGGAGGCAAAACGTTCAAATGAGACCAAAAACCCAGCGAAACATGCCTCAGCTTGGCCAAGCCCATCATCCAGTTGGGGACAATGGTGGGGCTACTGTAGCCCCATATCTCTAATTTTTCCAAGCAAGGAGGTGGCTGTAAAGCTTCAAGAAGTCTTTCATCTTCTTTTCTCTCTGACATCAGCCCCTTGGAATTAGTAAACTCTAGTATCAAACTGCGGAGGCCTTTCTTGTTTTGAAGTTCTGCTTTCTTAGCTTCAGCCACATCACACACAACTCCCAGTCCACTTATCTTAAGATGTCCTTGAAGATGCATTAAGTTTCCAAGATCACCAAGTGTTGATGCTTCTCTGTTAATTCCACCATCCATTGCCACGAACACCTTTAGCGTCCGAAGGTTTGTTAGTCTCCCAATTCCTTTTGGCATTGCCCTCAAGCTCAACTCTGTTTGCTCATTCTCAAGATGCCTCAAGTTGATTAGTTTTCCAATTCCAAACGGCAATTCTTTAAGACTATCACACCATGTGAGGTTTAAGGCTTGTAAGTTACATAACCCACATACTGATTCAGGTAATTTTTTCAATTTTCTATTTTGTTTCAAGTTAAGGTATCTCAAATGAACCAAATTTCCTGTTTGATCAGGAATTTCTTCAATTGAATTTCCAAACAAACTGTTACTCAAATCTAATGTTCTTAGACAAGTCAATTGATCAAACAACATGGGCAATGATATGCTTAGTGATGAAGTATCATGATTGCTTGAGTCAATAAGGAGGCTACGCAACTTTTTTAAATGGTAAATATCAGGGACTATTGGTAGCTTCTTTACGAATCAAATGTTACGTGGCGAGCCTTTTCAAAAAAGTCGACTCTCTGCTCTTCAAAACCATCATTTAGTAGCTTCAAACATCGGCTTCCATTAAAAGTTGAGCGCAATCATGTACGATATCATGAATTTCGAATCCCGTAATACCACTGTGAAGTTCAGACCTTTTAAAATCCTGAAAAAAAGAACGCATCATTAGCTCATCAAAATATTCCTCACCAACAATCTCCATCTCTTCGCATTGCACTCCCTTCAGGTAATCTTGTGCCATCCACAACTTGATCAATTCATCTTTGTTTAAGATCTTATCTTTGGGAAAAACAGAGCAATATGAAAAGCACTACTTAAGAGCCCAAGGTAACTCGTAACAACTCAAAAATAAGGGAGGGAAAAGATCTTGTTCAGCCTCTTCAAGGCTGCATATTTCGCTATCCAAGATGCTTTGCCATTGTTCTACAGTTCTTTTGAATCGCAGCAGACCACCTAGAATCTTTGCAGCAAGTGGCAAGCCCTTACACTTTTCTGCAATTTTCCCCAATATCTGCTAAATTTTCACACTCATCTCTTGTCCTCCCATAGAATGCTCTATGGCTAAGTAATGACCAACATTCCTCCTGAGACAAGGTATGTAATGAAAATACGTTTGCCGTCGTTGTTCCCATAATTATGGCAACTCTTTCCTTACGAGTGGTTATCAATACTCTGCTCCCATGAGAGCTATACTTGAGGGAAATTTTCAATTGCTCCCATTTTGTAGCATCTTCAGTCCTCACATCATCCAACACAAGGAGTATTTTCTTCCCCAAATCATGATTACGAATTTGCTGCAAAATGTAATCCTTTCCAACTAAATTCAGAGCTTCGCCTTTAAACGCTTCAAGGATCTCTTTGGCAATCCTTATCTCATCAAAAGGATCTGAGACACAAATCCGTATTCTCTTGTCAAAATAACATTCAACCTCATTGTGATTGTAAACCAGTTGAGCAAGTGTCGTTTTTCCGATTCCTCCCATCCCTACTAGAGAGATGATTTGCAAGCTCGAACCTCCTCCCTTACTATTCTCTCCTACCAATATGTTCACTAGAATTGTTGTCTCTTGACACCTACCATAAACTTCTTCTTCATCTATGAAAGAGGAAGTTATTTGTCTTTTGGGTTCTTCAACGTCCTTCTCTAACCCAAATTTATACCTATCTTGTCAGTATCTATACACTCAAGTTGTTTATTCGAGTCTTTTATCTTTGAAAGCAAACCTTTTTTTAAAAATAGTATAAGAACTTTCGAGAGAAAGAAGAGATAGAGTAGCCGTAGTTCTTAAGGCAAGGGGAAAATCTTCAACTCTTTTTGTTCTTTCTCCAATTGTGGATTGGAGTTTGGCAGGTATTTCCACTCATCAACACATCATCAACGTTCATACGGTACATCTTTGAGTTTCTTTAACAATTTCTGACATAGGGCATCCCTTTACCTGTTGAGGCAAAGAAAGATCTAAAATGTATCAGCATCCAAGTATAATTTCATGACAATTTTATTACAGCCAATATTTTTAGTCGACAATTCTGTCCCTTAGACAGCAATGGAATAAAGAAGACTTCATGTTCCGCCTTGAATTCAAAGTGAAAAAAATGCATTTTATCATAAAAAGAATGCATTCGTTCATTGCGAATTATTTTAGGAAATTATTGAAAAGGTCAACTCCAAGTTTTAAGATTTTGAGTTGGTTGTTGATTTAGACTGGTTTGCCTGTTGAAAGTAGATTTTGCCTTTAAAAGCTGCTTTTAATCTAACCTCAATGCTAAACACACACAAAAAAAGTTTTTTAATTTACAAACTCAAACTGAAAAACTCTTTAAAAAGTACTTTTGAAATGAAAAAAATGCGGATTAAAATAAAAATTACTATATTATCTTTATATCTTTTTAATATTTTATTATTTTACATATCTTTTTAAATATTTTGATCATGATACTTTTTTACAGCAATAATAGATATTAAAATTTTTAAGTGCACTTTTTTTTAACACTTTATAAGCACACTTTTACTTCCACCTCAATTTTTATATCGTTTAAAATCTTCAATTTCAAATCCTAGATTTATCCAAACATAGGATTTCAAATTCAATAGCTTTGAAAAAAAAATCAGAAGAAAAGTATGTAAAGAGCCCATGTTTGGCAAAGTAGAGAGACCTTAACGGTTATAAAACTCGGATCAAATTAAATTTTAATTTTTTAAACAATACACAATTTTAAAATTTGATTCAAATTTAAACCTAATTTTCGTATATTTTTTTTGAATAATGTATAAAATTATAAAATTTAAAATTTGATTAAAATTTAAGTCAAATTTTTATACATTTTCAAATCAAATCATAAATTACATATTCAATTCGATTTAGTTTAATGATTTTAAAATTTTAAATTTTTTATATATATTATTTTAATATAATTTTTAATATATTTAAATAAATTTATGTACAACATCTTGATTTAATAGTTAAAAATATATTAAAAAAACATAAAATTAGGATTCAATTTTAGCTTCTTTCCTCCCTCTTATTGTAAGGTTCTGTCATTTAAAATAAAAAAAAATTATTTATAAAAATTTTGAAAAATATATAAAAAATAATAAAAATATATAATTTATTTTATTCAAACTTTTTTATTTTTTATTTTTCAATTTAAAATCCTATCACAATTTAATATATATATATATATATTAATATTTAAATTTAATTCAAGCTAAATAAAAAAAAAAAAACTGATATGACTCAAACAAAACATTAAAATTTTAAATTAATTTTTTCTTTTTTCGATTTTTTTCTCACCATTAGCCTACTCGTCGTACCTGTTTTGCTTCTGCGTCTTGAAGGAGCGACCTAATATCCTGAAAATTGGCGGTCATTTTTCGGATTTCTTCTTCAAGTCACAGAGCCACCCCAACTTTGTTTTTTATCTCTTCGGGTATCATTATCAAGGAACCCAACTTCTCCAGAACTGCTGAAACAATTAATTTCGCCATTGATTTTTTCCTCAGATTGATCAAACAGTACCAAAGACCACTCCAAATTATTTTATAGGAAGAAAAACCCCGAGAAAAGAAGAAAAAAAAAGTGTGAAGGTAGGTTGGAATTGGGGTTTCTGTTTGCTGGTGAAGGTATATCTTCCTTCTTTTGGATCTTCTTTCTGTGCACGCAAAGTTCTATAAATAAATTAGACTTCGACTACAAGATTATGAACATTAAAACCCTTTGTTACCAAGGCACCGCAAATTAGTGGAAACACTCCTACTTTAGTCAGTGTGCACAAATATATGGTTTCTCACTTTCGCGCACTTTCTGGTTTCTTATAAACATTATACACCGACTCTAGTTTTGGGTTTATTCTCGCCGACTCAGTTTAAGTTTTTTTTTTTCTTTTTTTTTCAATGTCTTAAAATGATTCTTTTTTATTTAAAATTTTTCTAATTTTTTTAATAATAAAATTTAAATACATAAAAATTTAAAAAATCTTATTATTTTTAAAAATAAAAATAAAAACAAGAGTAATTGAGTAAAAAATAAGATTTATTATATAAATTTAAATTTTATATAAAATGAGGATTCAACCTTTATTTTAAAAATTTTAAAATTTAAAATTAAAAATCATATTTAATGCATATGATTATTAATATTATTATTTCATATCGTGTTTGATTTATATATAAAGAAAAAAATAAAAATTGAAAGGAAGTTTAATTTTTTTAGCGTAAAGTTATTCAATCTTTATCAAGTGAAGAAGATTATTTTTAATTTATAAAATTAAATTTAAATATTTAATTATATCTTTAAAACTTCTATCAATAATTTAAATTTTATTAATTTTAAAAAAAAATTTTGATAAATAAAAGAATTATGCTATCTTAATTTTTGCATATATCAAATATAAAATAAAATAATATTATTTTATTTTATTTTATTTAGAATACTATTTTATCTTACATTATTATAATTTTGTATACTATATATGTCAAAAATAATATTTAATAAATTTAAAAATTTTATATTTTTTATTTATAAAAGAATTTTAAAATCTGATGATGATTGCGCAACTTCATTATGTCGATTAGCCCAGACCTAGACCCATAGTGGGCCCCACTTGATAGTTGATAATAGAGTAAATTATATTACTTACAATTTTGAGATTTCAAGTTTTTCAACTTTCACATTTTTATTATTGTTTTTTGCATTTAGCATTTTGTGATTTAGTTCCATACTTAACGGATGCTATATTAACTTGACAAATTATGAAAATATTTTAAAAAATGAGAAACCTAAAATAATTTGATAATTTTAATGTGTGAATTTACCATCTTAGCTTTTTTGAATAATAGAATTAAAATATATTTTTTATATGGTCATAATTTGATAAAAATTAGAAAATTAAAAACTTTAAATTTGTTAAATATCATTTCTAAAAACAATTAATTAAATTAAACTGTTGATTATATAGATGTTCTTTCAACATGTTAATGTGTATCTAACAATAAGCGTATCACCGAAAGCGATGAAGGAGATGGCCAAAAGAGTCAAGCCATTTCCTTTTATAGGCTAAGGAAATAAGCAAATTTTCAATTCGGTTGATACAGGTTGAATATATAGACATAGGCAAGCCATGTCCATGAATGTAAAAATGGATAGTTCCATAGGTTCCCCCCATATCCCTTAGCAGTCCGATAAAGACTGAAAATTGGTGGCTAGTGGCTATCACTCAGAGTTGCCTTATATGGTAACAGTATTATTAAACATAATTACTAAACATAATTACAAACTCTCTAATCTGGAAAGCATCTTACTTATCAAATAAGAAATTTAGTTTAGTTAATTTATATAATTATTTTTTATATTAAATTCAAAATTGAAATTTTAATATTTATAAT